GTTCTGTCTTTTTGATGTTGAGTCCCACCAGGAGCCCTTGAAACATTTAGGGACCCGTACGTGAATCAATTACCTTTTTAATTGACTCAGCACCGCTCGCTGATCTGTTTGCTTTTCCGCAGCTGATTTCACTTATTCCCCAGAAGAATTGCTAATCTCTGGGGTAAAGAGGTGGGATTTAAAGCAAAAGCTTTGGAAAGTACAGACGTGAAATAAGAAAATCACTCAACTTACATCCAATTTTTCGTTAATTCCCGAAGCAGAAACTAATCTGCTTAGGAGAGATGTGATGTTAAACCTCGGTATCCTTTTACAGCTTGGCCTGACAGGGTCTCTGAGCTCTGCAAATCTGCTAACGACAATAGACAAAAAGTTCATGTCTCCTGATGTGTGGGCAAAGGAAGGAAAGCGGGGAAAGCTACTGATTTCCTGAATACACATTAAACATAAGCCTCCAGGGGAAATAGAAGGAAGCAAAGCCCTAAATCTTTGGAAGGAAGAAGCAGGTTAAAACCTGTAATAGAAAGTCTTGTTAAAGATGGGCTTCTTGAACCCTGCATGTCACTATACAACACTCCAGTTCTGACATCAAGAAGCCAGACAGCTCATACCGACTAGTACAGGACCTCAGAGCTATTAATCAGGTGGTCCAGGTCACTAATCCTGCTGCGCCCGACCCCTACACTGTTCTTAGTAAAATTCCCTACAATCCCCAGTGGTTCACAGTAATAGACATGCTTTCTGGGCATGTCCCCTGGCTGTGGATAGCTGAGCTGTATTTTCTTTCAAATGAGAAGATCCCCATTCAGGATGAAAGTAGCAATATACACGGACAGTGTTATAAGTAAAATTTCGATGCTGCGAAAGAAATGGCACTCGAAGATATGTCCTCTGAGCAAGGGAGTTTACTTCTCCAAGGGTGTGGGGTGCATGGGATGCAGCAGTGATGGCCACCACAGGCTTGGACAAGGTGGGAAGGGGTGCTTATGCCTGATGGGGGTCGTCCCTACTGCTCTGTTGTCCCCTATTGGCTAGGTTCAGACCGCACAAGCTAGACTAATCCTGATTGCTATTTTAAAAGAAGCAGGGGTCCAAGCTGGAGTGGCAGGGTGGGTGTTTTGGTGGTGGGTGTCTATAGGTGTGTCGGAATAGGCAGCCAAGGATAACCGGTGTAATAACCAGGATAACTCAGGATGGAGCCGGGGGAGGGAAAGCAGATAAGAACCACTGATTAGAACCGGTGGAGAAGGTTGTTTACTAGAATTACAAGGAAGGTAAACTTTAAAATGGAGAATTACAGAATCAGAGAGCTGAACATACTGACATACTGATTCTCTGAAGAGAAACTTGGGGTTCACTGTAACAACAGTTTTACCACAAGGATTTACAGACTCACCTAACCTATTTAGCCAAATTTTAGAGTGAATTATGGAGAAACTTGCTCTTCTGAAGTAGCTGCATTTACTTCAATATGTGGGAAGTAGAAAAGTTCCTTTTTAAAGTGAGTTTCTTATATCTGGTGAAGATGTATTAAAGGTTGCTGAGTTTTCCAGTTTTAAAGTTTCCTTTCTTGTTAAATCATAAGTGTGCTAATATCTCTTTGTTAAGCCCTATCCTATGTAGCTGTTAAACATGTTATACTTACACGCACATAGTATATTCTATATCCTTGTGCTTTAACCAAGATATCTGTGCTGGACATGCTCTCAGACATGTCCCAGCTCTCCATTGCTTTTACCTGATTAGAGAAGTTTTGTTAGCCAATTGGGCTTTAGTTTAGATTGTGAGGTCTGGCTCCAGCCAATGGAGATCAGACACAGCAGTAAGGAAAACCCCAAATGCATAAGGAATAGATGTGTCTGTTTTCCTTTTTTCATTGTACTCTTGTGGCAAGATGGCTAGCGAGAGTACCCTTCCTGCAGTCCAGGAAGTAAACATTGCATTGCTGAAAGATCAATGCTAATTTTCTTTGCAGCACTGAGCACGTTTCCACCATCTATTTCCAACAAATATATGGATGATATCCTTATATCTGGTGAAGATGTATTAAAGGTTGCTGAGTTTTCCAGATATATTCGTAATTATTTGCAATCTGAAGGGTTACAAGTCTCAAAAGAGAAACTTCAATACGTAGAACATGAAGTTAAATTCTTAGGTCACTTAATTAGTGCAGGCAAGAGATGAATAGGGTCTGAATGGGTTGAAGGAATTGTGACTTTACCTTTGCCTCAAACTAAGCAAGAACTCAGAAAATGTCTAGGGTTAGTTGGGTGTTGTTGCTTATGGATTGACACCTATGCATTAAGAAGCAAACTTCTATGTGAAAAGCTAATTAGCCAGGGACATGATCCACTTTCATGGTCCCCTGAGGAAGCTGATCAGGTGGAAGAGTTAAAGGAAAGACATAACTGTTCCTGTCCTGGCATTACCCTCCCTGGAGAAACCATGTCATCTTTTTATTAACGTAAATAATGGAGTCACTTTAGGAGTGCTTACTCAGGAATATGGAGGCCACTGGCAGCCAGTGGCTTTCCTGTCCAAGATGTTAGACCCCGTCACCTGCAGATGGCCACAGTGCATTCAATCTGTGGCAGCCACAGCAATACTACTCCAGGAAAGTAGAAAGCTAACGTTTGGAGGATGCCTGACAGTGAGTACACCTCATCAAGTCAGAGTCATCTTAAATTAAAAAGCTGGGCCGGGCACGGTGGCTCAGGCCTGTAATCCCAGCACTTTGGGAGGCCGAGACGGGTGGATCACGAGGTCAACAGATTGAGACCATCCTGGTCAACATTGTGAAACCCCGTCTCTACTAAAAATACAAAAAATTAGCTGGGCATGGTGGCGCGTGCCTGTAGTCCCAGCTACTCAGGAGGCTGAGGCAGGAGAATTGCCTGAACCCAGGAGGCGGAGGTTGTGGTGAGCCGAGATCGCGCCATTGCACTCCAGCCTGGGTAACAAGAGCGAAACTCCATGTCAAAATAAATAAATAAATAAAAAATAAAAAGCTGGAAGATGGCTGACTGATTCCAGGATCTTAAAATTTGTAGCTATCTTATTAGAAAAGGATGACCCACAGATAATTTGCTTAATCCAGCCAGCTTCTTCACAGAGGACCCACTATTTAAAAAAAAGGAACACCTGTGTTTAGATTTAATTGCCTTTCACATAAAAGTTAGGCCAGATTTAGTAGAAACCACCTTCAAGACAGGGCAACATTTATTTATAGATGTCTCTTCCAGGGTGATTAAAGGGCAGTGACGGTAGGGGTGCCAAGAAAGCCCTGTGCAAAACTTCTTGCCTAGGTCAGAGCCATCTCACACACACACTTGTTGATGAACAGTGTCAATCTCTAAAATATTTTTTTTTTTTGGTTTTCTTTTTTTAATGTTTTTATTTTTTCTCTCTCTAAAATATTTGAAGAGATTTATTCTGAGCCAAATATGAGTGACGATGGCCCATGACACAGCCCTCAGGAGGTCCTGAGAACATGAGCCCAAAGTGGTTGGAGCAGTTTGGTTTTATACATTTGCAGAGATATGAGACATCAATCAAAAACATTTAAGATATACAGGCCAGGCGCGGTGGCTCAAGCCTGTAATCCCGGCACTTTGGGAGGCCAAGGCGGGTAGATCACGAGGTCAAGAGATCGAGACCATCCTGGTCAACATGGCGAAACCCCGTCTTTACTAAAAATACAAAAAATTAGCTGGGCATGGTGGCGCGTGCCTGTAATCCCAGCTGCTCAGGAGGCTGAGGCAGGAGAATTGCCTGAACCCAGGAGGCGGAGGTTGCGCCAGCCGAGATCGCGCCATTGCACTCAGCTTGGGTAACAAGAGCGAAACTCCATCTCAAAAAAACATTACTTTGGTCCAGAAAGGCAGGTTCTAGGTAGGTGTAACAGTTTTCTGATTAGCAATTGGTTGAGAAGGTTATTATCAACAGAAAGGAATGTCTGGGTTGTATTAAGAGGTGTGGAAACCAAAATTTTGTCATGCAGATGAAGCCTCCAGGTAGCAGGCTTCAGAGACAAGAGATGCTAAATGTTTCCTATCAGACTTAAGGTCTGTGTCAATAGAGTGCTGGAGGGTATAATGAGGCATGCCTGACCCCCCACTTCCCGTCAGAACCACTCTTTCAGGATAACTTTGGAATGTCCTGACAGAGAATTCCATTCAGATGGCTGGGGGAGAGCTGGGGGCTTAAAGTTTTGTTTACGCACTCAGACCAAGTAAGTAAAGATTTGATAGCTGAGTGGATGGAACTTCGGAGTTTCTGGGCAAATAATGATCGGACGCTGGAATGTAAACTGGCATAAGGATTATGGAGTGCACCATCCCTATGAACATGCTATTTTATTGTAGTCTATACACTAGAGCAGTGTTTCCATCTGTGTAATACGACCCATTGAAGATTCACAAATTAGTTTACTGGGTGAGAACAAACATCTTTTAATAGGTTCGAACAGTGTTAACATTAATTTTCTGTCAACAAATTTAAAGTACAAGAGACACGATTCTCATTCTTTGGGATTCATCTGCAAAAAATAGATGTAGGTTCCAAAACTACAGAACCTTTCGCCAACAAAAAAACCCTAACGGTGGATATCACAGATCGGTGCGCCCACATGGCGCTTCCCCATCCGCCCCGCAGCGTCCCTGGCTGCGAGTCCTGGGTTTGATAAAGAAGCGGAATCCACGGCGCTTCCCGTGAGAAAGAGCAATTCTGACCCTCAGGCTCCCGGGGACCTGCGGAACTGACTTCCCAGAGTGAACACACTTCCTCTCTCGGATCACCCCAGAGGCCGCAGAGGCGCTTGGGAAATGTAGTCTCCCTCCTTCAGGAGAAGGAGCTCCTGGGCTCCTTCTGCGCATGCCCCACCCCGCCCCGCCATCTTGCCCGGTGAATTTGAACTTTACCTTCTGTGGACTGCCCGCAGCTCTGGGGTCGGGTTGGGCGTCCCGGAAGGTGGTTACGAGGGCGAAGGTGAGACCGCGGCCTTGGGGGTCCTTAGGAGCGAGACGGGGCTCCCTTGGTGCGAGGGTGGGGGGCTTGGGCGACTGAGGCTGCGCCGTCCCTTGGCGGTTGCGTCTGAGGCGGTGCTGGGAAGGACAGGTGTGGCCTTTGGGTCCAGAAGCGGTTCGGGAATCGGACGGCCAGGGTGGGCCCGAGATGGTAGCGGCGTTGTGGGCTGGGGGTTGGCGGGGCTCCCCCGGCTAGAAAGGCATCTTCCAATATGAGACTTCATTGAAAATCTGCTGCTGAGTGTAGCCACCTTCATGGATGATTTTGGTCGGATCCGGGTAACTTGCGGCGCTTCCGTTGGCTGCTTCAGCCTGCACTTTGATGTTACGGAGACGGCTTCTGTCCCTAAACCGCGTGACCCAACTTGTGCTTGCTTCCGCCTTTCCCCGTCTCTCTCAGTCTTTATAGAACTGAACAGACTTGTAGCCGCGTTCGCTGTTTCGCTTTCCTGTCTCGTTTGCTCACTGGAATAGTGCTTTTCCTTTCCCATTGCGCTCACAGCTTGGCTGAGTGGCGCATTCCTCAGGAAATTATCTCTGGTTTTTGATGTAAAGTGACAGATTTGCAACTCTTCTTTTTACTTGAACACTTAGAGACCATTATATGGTTTTTTTTTTTGGTTTTTTTTTTTTGAGAGGGAGTTTCGCTCTTGTTACCCAGGCTGGAGTGCAATGGTGTGATCTCGGCTCACCGCAACCTCCGCCTCCTGGGTTCAGGCAATTCTCCTGCCTCAGCCTCCCAAGTAGCTGGGACTACAGGCACGCGCCACCATGGCCAGCTAATTTTTTGTATTTTTAGTAGAGACGGGTTTCACCATGTTGACCAGAATGGTCTCGATCTCTTGACCTCGTGATCCACCCACCTCGGCCTCCCAAAGTGCTGGCATTAAAGGCGTGAGCCACCGCGCCCGGCCCATTATATGGTTATTAATTGTCCTAATTTTAAAGTTTTTGTGACTCAGAGAATAAGGGAGTTGAGGGGAGAGAGAGGCAGGGAAATGGCCAGTCCATGGAGCAGTCAGAACATGGGCAACATTCCTCACTTTAGTTTGTCGTTTTATATGAGTGTGATTTGTAGCACCCTCCGCTCAAACAATTAAAATAGTGACATCGAAAAGTACTGATCCCATTGGCTGGATGCAGTGGCTCACGCCTCTAATCCCAGCACTTTGGGAGGCTGAGGTGGGCAGATCACCTAAGGTCAGGAGTTCGAGACCAGCCTGGGCAACATGATGAAACCCCCTCTCTACTAAAAGTAGAAAAATTACCCCGGCGTGGTGGTGTGTGCCCATAGTTCCAGCTACTTGGGAGGCTGAGGCAGGAGAATTGCTTGAACCCAGGAGGCAGAGGTTGCTGTGAGCTGAGATTGTGCCACTGAACTCCAGCTTGGGCTCCATCTAAAAAAAAAAAAAAGTAAACCACAGATCACTATAAATGGATATAACAGTAAAAAAGTTTAAAATATTGTGAGATAAAATGAGCACATGCTGTTGGAAAATCATGCTGATAGACTTGCCCCACATGGTTGCTGAAAACCTTCAATTTGTGGAAAACACAGTATTTGGTAATCCTAGTGAAGTGAAGCACAGTAAAACAAGGTTGTATTGCTTTGACTCCATATGAAATTTAAAGTCTTTTTTTTTTCTAATTCTCTTAAGGATGTCCATGATAGTTTGATGGGAATAGCATTGAATTAATTACTTTGGGCGGTGTGACCATTTTCATGATACTGATTCTGTCCATGAAGATGGAATGTTTTTGCGTTTGTTTGTGTCCTCTCTGATTTCCTTGAGCAGTGGTTTGTAGTTTTCCTTGAAGAGGTCTTTCATGTCCCTCCTTAGCTGTATTCTTCGGTGTTTTATTCTCTTGTAGCAATTGTGAATGGGAGTTCATGATTTGGCTCTCTGCTTGTCTATTTATTGTTGGTGTATAGGAATGCTTGTGATTTTTGCACATCGATTTTGTATCAAGCTTTTTTTTTGTATGAAGCTTTTGGGTTGAGATGATGGGGTTTTCTAAATACAGGATCACATTGTCCACAAACAGGCAATTTGACGTCCTCTCTTTCTATTTGAATACTCTTTATTTTTTTTCTTTTGCCTGATTGCCCCGGCCAGAACTCCCAATACTGTGTTGAATGGGAGTGGTGAGAGGGCATCCTTGTCTTCTGCCAGTTTTCAAGGGGAATGCTTCCAGCTCTTGGTAATTCAGTATGATATTCACTGTATTTCATTCTACCCTCATTTATTTCTTGGACTGGAGCTCTCTCAAACCAAGTCTGTCACCACACTTGATGTCTAGAAATATGCTGGTGGTCTCTTCTTGGTATTTCAGAAAGAATTTGCCCATGTATTTCTGCCTTAAAAGAAAGATGAAAAAAAAAATTGGCTTTGAGAATGCCAGTAGATTCCAGGAATGTTGTTTGACTTTTTGACTAGTGTTTCTGTTTTGCCGCAATTAAATAAAACTCCTGTTTGTTGTTAAGATTCCTTAAGATTAGGAACTGCAATTTACAACAAATGCTATTTTAGAAAACTTTGCCGTGAACAAGCCTATCCTTTTTTCTACAGTACTTTCTGTGGCTTGCATGAGCCCAAGTGGTTAATATTACAGTTTTTCCCAGTTAATAACCTGTTCTTGAAAATCATAAAAGTCCTTTTTTGTTCTTTCCTTTTTGTTTTGTTTTAGAGACAGTCTCACTTTTGTCACCCGAGCTGGAATTCAGTGGTGGGATGAGTCACAGTTTCAAGGGGAATGCTTCCAGCTTTTGCCCATTCAGTGTGATATTGGCTGTGGGTTTGTCATAAATAGCTCTTATTATTTTGAGACATGTTCCATCAATACCTAGTTTATTGAGCGTTTTAACATGAAGGGACGTTGAATTTATCGGAGGCCTTTTCTGCATCTATTGAGATAATAGTCGTTTTTGTCACTGGTTCTGTTTATGTGATGGATTACGTTTATTGATTTGCACATGTTAAACCAGCCTTGCATCCCAGGGATGAAGCTGACTTGATCGTGTCGGATGACCTTTCTGATGTGCTGCTGGATTCAGTTTGCCAGTATTTTACTGAGGATTTTTTTTTTTTTTTTTTTGAGATGGAGTCTTGCCGTGTTGCCCAGGCTGGAGTGCAGTGGCACGATCTTGGCTCATTGTAACCTCCACCTCCCAGATTCAACTGATTCTCCTGCCTCAGCCTCCCGAGTAGCTGGGATTACAGGCGTGTGCCACCATGCCCAGCTATTTTTTTTTTTTGAGATGCAGTTTCGCTCTTGTTACCCCGGCTGGAGTGCAATGGCACGATCTCGGCTCACCGCAACCTCCGCCTCCTGGGTTCAGGCAATTCTCCTGCCTCAGCCTCCTGAGTAGCTGGGATTACAGGCACGCGCCACCATGCCCAGCTAATTTTTTGTAATTTTAGTAGAGACGGGGTTTCACCATGTTAACCAGGATGGTCTCAATCTCTTGACCTCGTGATCCACCCGCCTCGGCCTCCCAAAGTGCTGGGATTATAGGTGTTAGCCACGGCGCCCGGCCATCTGCCTTAATTTCATTATTTTCCCAGGAATCATTCAGGAGCAGGTCCTTCCATTTCCATGTAGTTGTGTGGGTTTGAGTGAGTTTCTTAATCCTGAGTTCTAATTTGATTAATGTTCAGTAGAAAGTCCCGCCACCTTTCCCCCAGGCTTCTTGCCCGCCACCATCCCCCCAGGCTTCCTGCTGCCGGGAGGACAGCCCCCAGGTGCTGCTTTGTTCTGCCCGACAACAAGCAGCAGCCAATCACCACGGTAGAACAGCCCGCCAAGCCCCGGCCAATCCTCAATCGACACATAACCCTCTCAGCTACCCCAGCAGTCTGCCCAGAGACGGACAGCCTATCCTAGGCTCCCATGACACACCGTCAGCCCTGTGCCCACGCCCCGTCCACCCCCTATAAAATCCTCCTACCCCAGCTACGCAGCCGCAGCCAGCCCAGATCCTCTTCCTTCCCTGGCCTGCCCGCTGGTCTCAATAAACCTGAATTCGGCTTCCAACTCTCGAGCTGTTACTTGGGATCGGGTACCGGGCAGGGGTCTACAAGGGGTCGCACATTTGGTGCCGAAACCCAGGAGCGAGGGTCGCTAGCCCCCCTAGCGACCCCCTCCCTCCAGCAACCTCTCCAGCCCTCCTCCAATTTGGCCTCAGCACTCCGGACCAGGTAAGTCCTGTTTCTTACCTTCTCCTTCCGTGGTGCGTGTGGCAAAGACCCTTCCTCTCAGTCCCACTCCACGGATCCCTCGCCAAGCGCCGGCCGGCCCGAGCAGGATCCCCCAACCAGGCTCCAGGAGCCTTGGGTCGGCAGACAAGGGACGCCTTCTCTGACCCACCCAATCCAACACCATTAAATAGGAACGATCAGACAGGGGACGCCTTCTCTGGGCTTTCCTATCCACCTTCCTCTGGGGAAGCTGGTGGGTTGGAGGGATGCCTCCCCTCCACACTACCCCAGCCCACTCGGATACTGTTCCGAGACCGCCCTCGGCTGGCAGGAATCCTTTGCCGCGCGCATCATGGGGAACGTGGAGTCCAAAATTCCTACAAACACCCCACTAGGTTGTTTACTTCTTAACTTTACCCGCTTGGGCTACTCCCAAACCCTTAGGCGAAAGAAGCTTATCTTCCTCTCCCAGGTGGCCTGGCCCCAGTACCAGCTCGATAACAGGTCGCATTGGCCCCCCACTGGCACTTTCGATTTCAATGTGCTCCGCAACCTAGATAACTTCTGCCGCCGGGCCGGCAAAGATAAGGAAGTGCCCTATGTTCAGGCTTTTTGGGACCTGCGTTCCCATCCTGACCTCTGCTCTTCTTGCTCCACTCACCAAGTCCTTTTAGCCTGAACCCCTCCACTGCAGACCCCTACCTCCCTAACCAATCCACCTCCCTATACCCTACAGGAAGAGATGCCTGACCATCTGTCTTCCCCGCTTTGTTTCCACTCCGGAAGTTTCCGCCCCATCTAGCCCCCCTCCCTCTGTTCCTCCTTCTCCCCTCCCACCTACACCTTCCGCTGCCCCCCCGACCGCACCTCCACTTGTCTGCCCTCCACCTCCCTCTCCCGTAGCAGCCCACACCCGTACCAAGACTTTAGTGCCTCCCTCTGTCATAGCGCCCCTATGGGAAGTAGCTGGGGCAGAGGGCCTCGTCCGAGTCCATGTCCCTTTTTCTCTCCAAGACTTGGCCCAAATTGAACGCCGCCTCGGGTCCTTCTCGGCAGACCCCTCCACCTACATTAAAGAGTTCCTGGCACGATATTCGGGTCATCTGTACATCGACCCTCTCTGCCGAAGAGCACGAGCGCGTCCTAGCGGCAGCCAGGCATCAAGCAGATAGAGATCATGCCATAAACCCCAACCAAGTCCCAGTAGGTACAGAAGTTATTCCCACCACAGATCCCCAGTGGGTATACCAGGACGGAGCTGGCTCCCACATCCCAGCTCGAGACCGCATGCTTCAGTACCTGTTGCGCGGGTTAGAAGCTGTATACAACAAGGTCGTTAACTATGATAAGCTAAGAGAAATTACACAGAAGCCAGATGAGAACCCTGCCCTTTTTCTCAACCGCCTTCAGGAAGCCCTTGTCAGCTATACCTGCCTAGACCCAGCCTCCCAAAATGGTGCTACTGTCCTAGCTTCCCACTTTATTTCCCAATCTGCTCCTGATATCCGAAAGAAACTAAAGAAGGCCGAAGACGGCCTAGAGACTCCTATACAAGATCTGGTTAAGATGGCCTTTAAAGTCTTTAACGCCAGGGAAGATGCAGCAGAGGTTGCCCGCCAAGCTCGATTGAAGCAAAAGGTTGCGCTGCAGACCCAAGCCCTGGTGGCAGCCCTACGGCCGGCAGGAGCCAAGGGTCCGAATAGCCGCTCTAAGCCCCCGCCGGGGGCGTGTTTCAAATGCGGCAAGGAAGGACATTGGGCCTCTAGTTGCCCTCAGCAACGGCCGCCCACCAGGCCCTGCCCCCTCTGTCAGCTCAGTGGCCACTGGAAATCAGAGTGCCCCCAGGGATCTAGGACCCCGGCCAACAGAAGCCAGAGTAGTGGACCAAGGGGTGCCTCTCCAGGAGGGCCAACCCTTGATCCTCCAGCTCGGGAGTCTGGCTCTCCTGACCACCTATACCCTGAGCTACTGGGGCTTTTAGACGACTAGGGAGGCCCAGGCTCGTCGACCCCAGTAACCCCTGCCGAGCCTAGGGTGTCACTTCAGGTAGCGGGTAAAAGCGTTTCCTTCTTGCTTGATACGGCGGCTACCTACTCTGTACTTCCCTCATTCCGAGGCCAGACTGTACTTTCCCAGGTCTCTGTTATGGGAATCGATGGAGCCACACACACTCCGCGCCAAACCCCACCGCTCACATGCATGTACAATACTGTCCCGTTAGCCACTCTTTCCTCATTATCCCCTCTTGCCCTGTCCCCTTGTTAGGACGGGACATCCTAACTAAACTCAGAGCCCATATTACTTTTCCCACCTCCCCCCAACCTCTCCTATTAGTTGCCCACCACCTCAGCTCCGACCTAGAACACGCTTCCCCAAATATCACTCTCCCTGAAGTACACCCTAAGGTATGGGAAACGGACACACCTGTAGTAGCCACACACCACAAGCCAGTCAAGATTTGCCTCCAGGAACACTCCTCCCGATTTCTTTGCTGGCCTCAGTTTCCTATTGCCAAGAAACACCGCCTAGGACTTCGCCCTATCATTGAGAGGCTAAAAAGTCGTGGCCTCCTAGTACCTACCAATTCCCCATGTAACACTCCCATCCTCCCTGTCCGGAAACCTTCAGGGGAATACCGACTAGTCCAAGACCTTCGACTAGTCAATGCTGCAGTTGTCCCCATACATCCTGTAGTCCCAAACCCATATACTATACTCTCCAAAGTCCCTTCTAATACTACCTTTTTCTCAGTCCTTGATCTTAAAGATGCTTTTTTCACCATCCCCCTACACCCCGATTCCTATTTCATCTTCGCTTTCACCTGGGAAGACCCACTTACTGATACCTCTTGTCAGCTCACCTGGACAGTCCTCCCTCAAGGTTTCAGGGACAGTCCTCACCTGTTTAGTCAGGCCCTTGCAACAGACCTCCTAGGCTGCCGTCTAGCCCCCTCCGTCATTCTCCAGTATGTTGATGACTTGCTTGTCTGTTCCCCCAGTCAGGAAGAATGCACCCGAGCTACCACTGCTCTACTTAACTTTTTAGGGGACAAAGTGTGTAGAGTTTCCAGGAAGAAAGCTCAACTTGTTACCCCGTCAGTCATCTACCTAGGCCTGCAGCTCTCCCCAGGGAAGAAGTCCATCATCCCCGATCGACTACAGGCTCTAAAAACCCTCCAGTCCCCACAGTCAGCCGCCGAAATACTCTCCTTTTTAGGAGTAGTAGGATTCTTTCGGCATTGGGTTCCGAACTTCGCCCTCCTGGCCCGACCACTATACCAAGCCGCCGCAGATACCCCTGAAGGCCCACTTACTTCCCAGGGGACAGTTACTCGAGCTTTTCGCTCCTTCCTGCAAGCGTTATGTGCTTCATCTTCTCTTGCTCTGCCAAACCCCAATCTCCCTTTTTGCCTATACACGGACGAAAAGGCTCACACCACGATAGGAGTACTTGCTCAACCAGTCGGTAGCACCCTCCTTCCTCTAGCATACCTCTCCAAGCAGCTCAGCCCCACAGAAAAAGGGTGGCCCCCTTGCCTTCGAGCCTTGGCAGCGGCCGTTACGCTTACAACAGAAGCTCTTAAGATCAACCTCCAACAAACTCTCAAAGTATTCTCCCCCCACAGATTGCAGGAACTCGTGTCTAGTCAGGCCTTACCACACCTTGGGCCGTCCAAGATACAGCTCCTGCACCTTCTATTCCTGGAAAATCCGGATGTCTCCCTCTCTCACTGTTCTGCTCTTAATCCAGCCACCCTCTTTCCTTCTCCCGCTGCCCCAATACTAGACCACCAATGTCTTGAAGTCATTGTTGAAACTCAGTCTCCATGGCCAGATCTATACTCTACCCCCATTGAGGCCGAAGCAACACTCTTTGTAGATGGGAGCTCCTTCCTACGCCCAGGAAAACCCCATATTGCTGGATATGCAATAGTGACCCCTTCAGACGTCATTGAGACTCATTCCCTCCCCTTGGGAACCACCTCACAACAGGCTGAGTTAGTCGCCCTCACCCGGGCTCTCAAGTGGGCCAGGGACAAAACTGTCAAGATATACACAGACTCAAAGTACGCTTTCCTTATTGCACACTCCCATTGTATGATCTGGAAAGAGAGAGGATTCTTGACCACCAAGGGCACCCCGGTAGTTAACGGAAAACTTATAGCTGATCTTATCTCAGCCATCTAGCTTCCAAAGCAAGTTGCCATCATTCACTGTCGAGGACACCAAACCTCCGGGTCCCTAGTAGCCCTAGGTAATGCTTTTGCGGACAGGACGGCCAGGGAGACAGCACAAACCTGCCCACCCCCAAAAGAAATCTACTTTCTGTCACGCTGCTACAAACCCCAGTATTCCAACTCTGAGCTCGAACTTTTACAGCAAAACCCTGGAGTGACCTTTAGGGATGGATGGGCCTTCAATCACAACCTTCTGATACTTCCTCAAGCACAAAAAACTACCATCATAAAAGACATCCATGATTCCCTTCATATCGGGCCTAAAGCCCTGCTCCACTTCCTCCTGCCCATATTACATCCAGAAGGGCTTTCCTCCCTTATTCACCAGGTCCATGCCCAATGCCTCATTTATGCGAAGACCAACCCCCAAGGAGCCTGTCATCTCCGTCAACAGCTCCACCAGTTGCGTGGATCTTTACCAGGACAAGATTGGCAAATTGATTTTACTCACATGCCAAGACATAAACAATTTCGGTTCCTGTTAACCATTGTTGATACTTTTTCAGGCTGGATCGAAGCTTTTCCCACCACTTCGGAGTCCACCGACACTGTTGCTGCCCATCTCATCCAGGACATCATCCCTCGGTTTGGGCTTCCAGCCACTATTCAGTCAGACAACGGCCCAGCCTTTGTCTCCAAAGTTACTAATGCTGTCTGTGCTTCCTTAGGAATTCAGTGGAAGCTGCATGCGGCCTACCACCCCCCAGTCATCGGGTAAGGTAGAACGGGCTAACGGACTCATCAAGTATCAGCTTACCAAACTCTCTCTCGAGCTTAAGCAGTCGTGGGTCTCTTTACTACCGTTAGCTCTTACCAGGCTGCGGGCCCGCCCCCGAGGAGCCTCACAGCTCAGTCCATTCGAGCTCCTATACGGGCGACCCTTCCTGCTATCCACTCCACCTTCTCCGGAGAGTTCCCCCCTGAACACCTACCTTCCCTATTTTACTCTCCTCAGACATCTACTCAGGGAACACGCCAACGCTTCCATACCCCAAACCTCAGAAATTTCACCCGCTCTGGGAAAGGTTGCTCCCGGTGACTCCATTTTCATTAAATCTCTCACTCCAAAACCCCTCTCACCCCGGTGGGAAGGGCCCTATACTGTCATTTTAGCTACCCCAACGGCCATCAAAGTTGCTCAGATTCCATCTTGGGTCCATCTCTCAAGAGTAAAAAAGTATCCCGATGGCCCTTCCAGTTCCCGTTGGGAGTGTGTTCCTACTGGTCCTCTATCACTTAAGCTCTTTAAGCCCTGAATTGTCCCTAGCTAACCCACAGTATGTCTGGAGATTTTTTCTCACTGAAAATTATACCAAAACTACCGAGATTTGCTCAACCCCTCCTTACTCTCATAACCACCTCTTAACCACGACAGATTGCCCCACCACAGGATGTGCATTTCCCATCCAACTAAACTTCTCCAACCTTAACAACGTCCACAACACCCACCCATTGCTGTGCCTTCACTTTAGACAGAAAGGTGACTGCCAGACCTCCAGTTGGCACTCTTGTCTGGGATGTGTTTGGGGCACCTGTCAGCTTGACCCCACAGCTGATGAAGACGAGCAGGAAGGCCGCCACCCTTCCCTCCTTAAGAGAACCAAAAAATTTGACTCAGAAGGCAATCCCAGCAAAGAAACCCAGCTTACTCTAACCATTACAGATCCCTGGGACGATAGGTGGAAAACACCTCAAAAAGCCTCAGTCTATGAGGACAGCACCACAAGTTATCCGTCCTCACACTTATATATCTGGCGAGCATATGTCCTCACTTCTCCAGAAATCCACAACACGATCCAAGTACAAGAAACTACATTAAAAACTCAGCTAACCCCCTTCTCGTGGTTAACCCTCATGAGAGAAGGCCTAAAGCTTGCCAATCAGACAGGGCTGACCAATCTGACCTCTTGCCTCCTTTGTGCGACTCTTGGACAAACTCCTCTAGTCGCAGTCCCGACCATGTTTCCTACAAATCACACCAACGGGACAGGCCGACACCCCCCAATCCCAGATGTCCCACTCTTCTACCTCAACACTTCACTCTTTCCGGCCTGCTACTCTTCTCAGGGCTCAGACCCCACATGTAACAGGACCCAACAGCTCACAACCAATCTAACAGCTCCTCGAGGCTTTTACTTTTGGTGCAACGGTACCCTGTCCAAACTACTAACCCAGTCCGACCTTAGAGGACGTTCCCGCTGTCTCCCTGTCGCCTTGGTCCCACGCCTCACTGTCTATACACCAGCTGAGTTCCTTATGATGCACACTAGCATGCCTTCCGCACGCCCCAGCTCCCATCGTCAACGAAGAGCTGCCTTTCTTCCCATAGCTATCGGGCTCTCCCTCGCAGGATCCGCGGCTGCTCCAGGCCTAGGAAGTGGGGCCCTGATTAATACTCACCAGGCCCTAGCCCGCCTTTCCTCACAGCTACAGACTGCAATTGATGACTCTGCTGCCTCCCTAGCATCTCTCCAACGACAGGTCACTTCGGTTGCCCAAGTAGCCCTACAAAACCGAAGGGCTCTGGACCTGCTTACGGCCGAGCGAGGAGGGACCTGCATCTTCTTACAGGAAGAATGTTGCTACTACATCAATGAATCTGGAATAGTAGAAACCCGTATCGAAAATCTCCAGAAAATTAAGACAGAGCTACAAAATCACAAGTTCACCACCGAAGCCACCACATGGTGGTCGTCATCCATGTACACCCTCCTATCCCCACTGATAGGGCCTCTGCTTATCATCTGCCTTTTCTTACTTGTCGCCCCGTGTTTCTTTCAGTTTTTGCAGCGCCGTTTCCAGGAGCTTACCCGGATCACTATCAACCAGATGATGCTACAATCAGTCCCCAACCACCCAGATTGCGCATATACCCCACTACCGACCTCCCAGGCTCCTTAAAGACCCCACTCCGCCCCTGTCCAGCAGGAAGTAGCCAGAACGACTCCGCCGCCCTTTGTCCTTTTTTAAGGAGTTGGGAATGTTCGGTAGAAAGTCCCGCCACCTTTCCCCCAGGCTTCTTGCCCGCCACCCTCCCCCCAGGCTTCCTGCTGCCCGGAGGAGAGCCCCCAGGTGCTGCTCTGTTCTGCCCGACAACAAGCAGCAGCCAATCACCACGGTAGAACAGCCCGCCAAGCCCCGGCCAATCCTCAATCGACACATAACCCTCTCAGCTACCCCAGCAGTCTGCCCAGAGACGGACAGCCTATCCTAGGCTCCCATGACACACCGTCAGCCCTGTGCCCACGCCCCGTCCACCCCCTATAAAATCCTCCTACCCCAGCTACGCAGCCACAGCCAGCCCAGATCCTCTTCCTTCCCTGGCCTGCCCGCTGGTCTCAATAAACCTGAATTCGGCTTCCAACTCTCGAGCTGTTACTTGGGATCGGGTACCGGGCAGGGGTCTACAAGGGGTCGCACAATTACATTATGGTCTGAGAGGCTTTGTTACAATTTCAGTTCTTTTGCATTTGCTGAGGGGTGTTTTAATTCTAATTATGTGGCTGATTTTAGAGTGAGTGCCATGTGGCACTCAGAATAATGTATATTCTGTTGTTTTGGGGTGGGGAGTTCTACAGATATCTATTAGAGTCACTTGATCCCGAGTTGAGTTCAAGTCCTGAATATTCTTTTTATTTTTTATTTTTCTTTGAGACGGAGTCTTGCTGTCGCCTAGACTGGAGTACCATGGTACAATTTCAGCTTACTGCAACCTGTGCCTCTCGGGTTCAAGCGATTCTCTTGCCACAGCCTCCTGAGTAGCTGGGATTACAGGCGCCTGCCACCACACCTGACTACTTTTTGTATTTTTTTAGTAGAAGTGGGGTTTTACCATGTTGGTTGAGCTGGTCTGAAACTCCTGACCTCACCGTCCTCCTGCTTTGGCCTCCTAAAGTACTGGGATTACAGGCGTGAGCCACTGCACTTGGCCATATCCTTTTAATTTTCTGTCTCGTTGATTTGTCTAATAGTGACAGTGGATGTTAAAGTCTCCCAGTATTATTGTGTGGGAATATAAGTCTCTTTGTAGTTCTCTATGAACTTGTTTTATGAATTGGGGTGCTCTTGTATTGGTTACATACATATTTAGGATGGTTAGCTTTTCTTCTTGTTGAACTTATCCCTTTAACTTTATATAATGACCCTCTGTCTTTTTTGATCTTTGTTGGTTTAAAGTCTGTTTCCTCAGAGACTAGAATTGCAACTTCTCCTTTTTAATGCTTTTCATTTGCTTTGTAAATTTTCCACCATCCCTCTATTTTGAGCTTCTTTGTGTCTTTGCACATGAGATGGGTGTCTTGACTACAACATACTGATGGTTCTTAACTCTTTATCCAATTTGCCAGTTTGTGTCTTTTAATTCGGACATTTAGTCTGTTTACATTTAGGGTTAATGTTGTGTGTGAGTTTGATCCTGTCATGATGCTAGCTGGTTATTTTTCATACTAGTTGATGCTTTTCTTCACTGAGTCATTGGTCTTTATATTTTTGTGTGTTTTTCTATGGCTGGTAACGGTTTTGCTTTTCCATATTTAGTGTTTCCTTTAGGAGCTCTTGCAAGGCAGGCCTGGTGGTGACAAAGTCCCTCAGCATTTGCTTGTCTGAAAAGGATCTAATTTCTCCTTTACTTATGAAGCCTAGTTTGGCTGGATATAAAATTCTGAGTTGAAAGTATTTTTTTAAGAATGTTGAATTTTGGCCCCCACACTTTTCTGACTTCTAGGGTTTCTGCTGAGAGATCCTTGCTATTCCTTTTCTTTTTTCTTTTTTTTTTTTTTTTTTGAGATGGAGTTTCACTCTTGTTACCCAGGCTGGAGTGCAATGGCATGATCTCAGCTCACCGCAACCTCCGCCTCCTGGGTTCAGGCAGTTCTCCTGCCTCAGCCTCCTGAGTAGCTGGGATTACAGGCATGTGCCACCATGCCCAGCTAATTTTTTGTATTTTCAGTAGAGACGGGGTTTCACCATGTTGACCAGGATGGTCTTGATCTCTTGACCTCGTGATCCACCCGCCTTGGCCTCCCAAAGTGCTGGGATTACAGGCTTGAGCCACCACGCCCGGCCGATCCCTGCTATTCTTATGGGCTTCCCTTTGTAGGTAACCTGACCTTTCTCTGGCTGCCCATAACATTTTTTCCTTCGTTTTGACCTTGCAGAATCTGATTATGTGTCTTGGAGTATCTTGTGGAGTATCTTTGTGGTGGTCTCTGTAATTCCTGAATTTGGATGGTTTCTTGTTTTGCTTGGTTGGGGATATCTCCTGGATAATATCCTGCAGTGTGTTTTCCAACTTGGTACCATTCTCCTTGTCTTTTTCAGGTACTCCAATCAGTTGTAGATTCAGATTTTTCACATAGTCCCCTATTTCTCAGAGGGTTTGTTCATTCCTTTTTATTCTTTCTCTCTAATCTTGTCTGCCTGCTTTATTTCAGCAAGATAGTCTTCATCTCTGATATTCTTTCTTCTGTTTGATCCATTTGGCTGTTGAGACTTGTATATGCTTCATGAAGTTCTCGTGCTGTGTTTTTCAGCTCTCTCAGGTCATTTATGTTCATCGCTAAACTGCTTATTCTAGTTAACATCTCCTCTAATCTTTTTTTAAGGTTCTGAGCTTCTTTGCATTGGGTTAGAACATGCTCCTTTACCTCAGTGAAGTTTGTTATTACCCATCTTGTGAAGCCTACTTCTGTGAATTTGTCCATGTCATCCTCTTTCCAATTCTGTGTCCATTGCTGGAGAGATGTTGCAATCATTTGGAGGAGAAGAGGCACTCTGACCTTTTGGGTTTTCAGCATTTTTTGGTTGACTTTTTCTCATTTCATGAGTTTGTCTAGTTTTGATCTTTGAGGCTGCTGACCCATGGATGAGGTTTTTGTGGGTACTTGTTTTGTTGATGGTGTCGTTGCTTTCTGTTTTTCTTTCAGTAGTCAAGTTCCTTTTCTGTAGGGCTGCTGTGGTTTGCTGGGGCTTGATTCAGTCCCTGTTGATCTCGTTTGCTTCTGCACCTTGAGATGTCACTCAGGAACACTGGAGAACAGCCGAGATGGGTCCCTGCTCCTTCCTCTGGAATCTCTGACCTTGAGGGGCACCAACCTGATGCTAGTAAATGCTCCTGATGGGATGTCTGATATCCCCTGTTGGGGAGTCTGACCCATTTGGGTGGCACGGGAAGCAGGACCCATTTAACATGGCACTTTGGCTGTCCCTTGGTGGAAGGGGTTTGCTACACTCGGGGGAAACCCACTCGTCTGGGCTGCCCAGATTCCTCAGAGCTAGCAGGAGAAAAGATTAAGTCCACCCTTCTCCCTAGGGGCTGAAGTCCAGGGAGATCGGAGTTCTGTTCCTAAGTCCCTGGATACAGTTGGAGTTCCTGCAGGGAGGCCCTGCAGCTGTAGCGTTGGCTGCTGCCCCTCCTCCAAGGATCTCAGACTGCTTAGACTGCAGACAGCTGCAGCAGTGGTGTTGGCCACTCCTCTGTCTGGGAACTCATCAGGCTTAGGTTGATTCTAGCCAAATGGCTATTGAGACTGTGCACCTTCCTGATTGAGACCCAAGACCCCAATGGCATGGGCTCCCTAGTGGGATCTTCCGATCTGTGGGTTGCATAGTTCTGTGGAAAAAGCATGGTTTCCCAGACAGGGTGGCACTCTCACTCACCATCTCCCTTGGCTGGGAGTGGGGGCTTTCCTGCCCCTTGTCGCTTTCAGGTGGGCTGCTGCACTATACTTTTCTTCTTTTCTCTGCATAGGTCATGCCAGCCACCTAGTCAATCCTTATAACAGAATCTGGATACCTCAGTTGCTGATGCAGGATTTGTACACTGTTTTGGATCTTTTGGATGGGAGCCTCCTATTGCCATTGCTTCTAGTTGGCTTTCTTGGCATGCCCCTCCCCCTTTTAATTTATATTATAAAATCCGGCTTGGCATGGTGTCTTAGGCCTGTAATTTCAGCACTTTGGGAGGCCGAGGCAGATGGATCACTGAGGCCAGGAGTTCAAGACCAGCCTGGCCAACATGGTAAAACCCGTCTCTACCAAAAAAATACAAAAATTAGCTGGGTGTGGTGGTGCATGCCTGTACTCCCAGCTACTCAGGAGGTTGAGGCAGGAGAAACATTTGAACCTGAGAGGTTGATGTTGCAGTGAGCCAACATAGCACCACTGTACTCCAGCCTGGGCAACAGATTGAGACCCTGTCTTAAAAAAAAAAGTCTGGCCAGGCGCGGTGGGCTCAAGCCTGTAATCCCAGCACTTTGGGAGGCCGAGGCGGATGGATCACGAGGTCAAGAGATCGAGATCATCCTGGTCAACATGGTGAAACCCCATCTCTACTAAAAATACAAAAAATTAGCTGGGCATGGTGATGCGTGCCTGTACTCCCAGCTACTCAGGAGGTTGAGGCAGGAGAATTGCCTGAACCCAGGAGGCGGAGGTTGCGGTGAGCTGAGATCGCGCCATTGCACTCCAGCCTGGGTAACAAGAGCGAAACTCCGGCTCAAAAACAAAAAAGTCTGTCATCTCTCTTTAATATTTCTATCTGTGTCACAGGTATATTTGCTCTACTCTAGACTTTGCTTCAGATTGTCTGTCTCATTATTTCTCTGTTTTTTTTTTAACTACACCAAGTCAAGTCTTTCTTCCACAGGAGCAATTCATACAGCATAGAAATACGCAAATTATGCCTACCATGCCTGAGACAGTCTTGCTTTGTTACCAGGCTGGAGTGCAGTGGTGAGATCTCAGCTCACTGCAACTTCTGCCTCCCAGGTTCAAGCAATTCTCCTGCCTCAGCTTCCCAAGTAGCTGGAACTACAGTTGTGCACTGCCACACTCAGCTAATTTTTGTATTTTTAAGAGAGACAGCGTTTCACCATGTTGGCCAGGATGGTCTCGATCTCTTGACCTCGTGATCTGCCTGCCTTGGCTTCCCAAAGTTCTGGGATTACAGGTGTGAGCCACTGCACCTGGCCAAGGGTGCCCTCTTATGCAGGCACCCATGTAACCTCTTGTGAAGTCATAAGAGTAATACCTTAATCCAGTAGAATTGATGGTCTTAAAAGAAAAGGAAAGGAGAGAGAGCTGCCTGTCTCTATTATATAAGGACACATCAAGAAGGTGTCATCTGTAAACCAGGAGGAGATACCTCATTAGGAAATGATTTGACTGGCACCTTGATCTTGGACGTTTCAGTCTCCAGAAATGTGAGAAACAAAATTTCTGTTGTTTGAGTCACCCAGTCTGTGGAATGTATTATGACAGACACAGCTAACTAATACAGGAAGGAAGGACCAGGTTTTGGGTGAACAGAAATATAACCTGCCACACACTGTCTATTCTTGTTCAGTTTTCCACAAAAGTGTTTTTCTGGCTTATCTATATCTAAGAATGTGTTGTTTTCATAGGATGATATTAAAGTATTACACTGACTTAGGAAGAATTGGCTTCTTTATGATGTAGACTCTTCCTGTTCATAAACATAGTGTTTCTTTTTATTTGCTTAATTCTCTTTTGTATCCCTCAGTTTTTCCCCCCTCCCACCATGTAGCTCTATGCTAATTTTGTTAAATGTACTGCTATATGCATTGTCTTATTGTAATATGAATATTATTACATGTATGAAGACTTTTTATCGTCTGGTTATATATTGAGCTTTCTAATTTGGAATAGTTTTAGAAGAATCTCTTGGGTTTTCTAGGTTTAAATCATATGCAAATCATAGTCTTTCTCATTTTGGTTTTTCTTCATTTGAATTGAACAGTACCTCTTGTACAGTGCTGAATATTTCTAGAGATGGAGCATAGGTGTCTTCCAGTGTTGCCTCCTTAAGTGTGATGCTGCTCTTTGGACTCAGATATGTCTATTTTAACATTTGAAGAATGCCTTTTATTACAAATGGGATGATTTATTATGATTTTTTCTTATACTTTAAGTTCTGGGATACTTGTGCAGGTCTTGCAGGAATGTTACATAGGTATACACCTGCCAGTACACCTGCTATTGTGGTTTGCTGCAGCCATCCCCCATCACCTACGTTAGGTATTTCTCCTAATGTTATCCCTCCCCAATCCCCCCAGCCCCCCAACAGGCCCCGGTGTGTGATGTTCCCCTCCCTGTGTCTATGTGTTCTCATTGTTCGAACGCCCACTTATTAGTGAGACCATGCAGTGTATAGTTTTCTGTTCTTGTGTCAGTTTGCTGAGAATGATGGTTTCCAGCTTCATCCATGTCCCCGCAAAGGACATGAACTCATCCATTTTTATGGCTGCATCGTATTCCATGGTGTATACATGCCACATTTTCTTTATCCAGTCTATCATTCATGGGCATTTGGGTTGGTTCCAGGTCTTTGCTGTTGTAAACAGTGCCACAGTGAACATACGTGTGCATGTGTCTTTATAATAGAACGATTTATAAACCTTTGGGCAGATACCCAGTAATGGGATTGCTAGGTCAAATGGATTTCTATTTCTAGGTCCTTGAGGAATCACCACACTGTCTTCCACAGTGGTTGAACTAATTTACACTCCCACCAATAGTGTAAAAGGGTTCCTGAGAAGCCAGTGGAGCCCCTCAACACCTCGGATAGCTGCCAGGCACACATGGTGCCCCTGGCTTCCCCAGAGACCCCAGGAAGGGCTCCTTCTTAACAAAATGGGGGTCCCACTCTTACCCACACATGCAGTGATATCCACACACATCAGAGAATGAAACTCTTGCTGTGCTGATGTGAGAGATGAATATCCCTGCCCCACATTTCCCAGTGTCATCCCCACATGGTGCTGAGCTTGGGGTGCCCAAGCCAACAGCCCACTGATGCAGCAGCCTGAGGGATACTGTGCCCTGGAGGGACCTGCGGGGCCTCAGGGGCATTTCGCAGTTAGAGCATCTCCTTGACTTTGTCATTCACTGGCCCTGTGCTGAGTTTCCTCCACTGTAACACAAGGGAGAAATTCCACCCCACAGAGCTGGGGACCCAGCAAGGCCAGGACACCAGGTTAAATGGCTGGAATGTACAAAAGCTGGCCGAGAGGCCCTGCCCAGGGTATCTCACCCTGGGACTGAGGCCCACCAGTCCATGGCTAGGCCAGTCTATTGGGGAGGGCTCCCAGTTCCAAGTCCCTGCAGTTGAGGCCCACAGTGCACCGGGAGAGGCACAGGATGGGATGGAGTGTGGAATGACGCCCCGTTATAAGAGCCCCGGGCAGAATTTAGAGAACCAGCATTATACTGAGACTTGAGCTTAGACTGCTGTCTTCCACATTTAAGGACCCTTGTAATTACGTTAGGCCAGGCTTAGAATTCAAGTTAATATTCTTACTTTAGAGTCACCTGATCACCAACCTGTATTTCACCTGCAGCATTAATTATGCGTTGTTATATACCGTGATACATTTCTAGGCCCTGGGGGTGAGACATAGGCATCTTTTATAGCATTATTTCACTTACCACAGGGCTAATTAACTACGTCTTTAAAATAATCCTGACTTTTCCAGTTTTGTTTCTATCCCGGCATACTACGTAAACTTTTTTTTTTTAATCTGAGTAGGAAATCGCTAAAATCCAACTCTCAATGTTAAAGGACAAAGATCACCTTTCTCTGCTTTATGACATCGATGTATTTGCATTAAAATAATTGCATGGCAGTCCTTTTCTTGAGACTTTATAGCAGAATACTTTCTCATATCTTGGAAAAATACTAATTTCTCTAATAGTAAAGATAATTCCCCATGTCTTAAGGAAGATATCTCTGTATTAGAATCCTTTATAAACACACAATTTCACTGAATAATTTTGTAATTACTGTCTCTTATTATTGTCCTAGATACATGTACGTAAGTGCAGTATATTAGGAAAGTGAGTCACATATAGTGAATTCACAGAGATTTACAGATATACTGTGTATAAGTCATATCCCATAAAGAAATAATGAAATTAGATAAAATAACATAGGTAAGAATTTTAATGTTTTTCTCTCTCTCCCCATGGGGTAAGCAGATCATACACTCTAATTCATGCCACACATTCTCTAAATGTTTAACTCATACTGCAAAAGCATGTTATTGTTATCTGGTGAATTATTAAACGTGTTCTTTAATGAGATTTTTGAGGTCATTTATGCTAAGTCTTGAGGAAAGGAAAGTGGTTTTCATAAACTAGAATTAAAAACTAAAATATAAGGGAATTCAGGGGATCATAGCGGATGGGAGGAAGGACTAGATTGCAGCTTTGGAAAGAGGAACATTTGAGGCTTGCATCGTGAATTTTAGCTCCAGGTGGACTGCAAGAACAAATCAGCAATCCCAAGAGGACAAAAGCCTAAAATTCATATGCAACCAAAAGAGAGCCACATAGCCAAAGCAAGCCTAAGCAAAAGGAACACACCTAGAGGCATTACATTACCTGATTTCAGACTGTACTGTAAGGCCATAGTTACCAAAACAGTGTGGTACTGGTATAAAAATAGGCACATAGATCAATTGAACAGAATAGAGAACCCAGAAATTAACCCAAATACTTACAGCCAACTGATCTTTGACAAAGCAAACAAAAACATAAGGTGGGAAAAGGACACCCTTTTTAACACACAGTGTTGGGACACATGTAGGAGAATAAATCTGGATCCTCATCTTTCACCTTATGTAATAATCTACTCAAGATGGATTAAGAACTTAAACCTAAGTCTTGAAACTACAAAAATTCTAGAAGATAACACTGGATCAATCCTTCTAGACATTGGCATAGGCAAGGATTTTATGACCAAGAACTCAAATGCAATAAAGACAAATAGCTGGGACCTAATTAAACTAAAGAGCTTTTGCATGGCAAAGGAACAGTCAGCAGAGTAAATAGAAAACCTATAAAGTGAAAGAAGATCTTTACAATCTACACATCTGACAGAGGACTGATATCCAGAATCTGTAATGAACTCAAATCAGTAAGAAAAAAACAACTCCATCAAAAAATGGGCTAAGGACATGAATAGACAGTTCTTACAAGAAGATATACTAATGGTCAACAAACATGAAAAAATGCTTAACATCTCTAATAATCTGGGAAATGCAAATCAAAGACGCAGTGCAATAGTATGTTACCTCCTGCAAGCCATAATAAAAAAAACCGTATATGTTGGCATGAATGTGGTCAACAGGGAACACTTCTACACCGCTGGTGGGAATGTAAACTAGTACAGCCACTATGTAAACTAGTGTGGCGATTTCTTAAATAACTAGAAGCAGAACCACCATGTGAAAAATGAAAGTAAAACACAAAAATAAAATACATAAATTTTATTTCTCAACATAAGCTTCATCACGTTCAAGACATTTCATAAGCATAATACTGACCTTTAGTCTATTCCTATAAAAACTAAAGTCCTAGGAATTTAACTATGTCAAGACGGTCTTTTTTACATTATTAACCGAAGAAAAATGGGTGTCCTTAAAATTTTTTTTTAATCAGAAAAGAAAAAGAAATTAGTGGGATCCAAATCAGGGCTAAGGTGGATGCCTAATACTTTTCTATATTGAAAATTGTCTTTCTTTTTCATGAGAAGAATGAGGAGGAACATTACTGTGGTGGAGAAGAATTCTCTGTTGAAATTTCCTGTAAGTTTTTCTTCTAAAGCTTTGCCTAACTTTCTCAAAATACTCTCATAATAGCACATGTTATTGGGGTTTTTGGTTTTTGGTCCTGTAGAAAGTCAACAAGCAAACCGCCTTGAGCATTCTAAGACACTTGCTGTAAGCTTTGTTCTAGACCAGTCACCTTTTGCTGTGACTGGACCACTTTCACCTCTTGGTAGCCATTGCTTTGATTGTATTTCTGACTTGAGGATTTCACTGGAACTGCTGTATTTGAACTCCTCTTACAATTATTTGAAGAAATGCGTCAGGATCTTGATTCTACTTACATAAAATTTCACTTGAAAGCTCTGTTCTTGTCTGCAGCTGATCAGGAAGCAAGAGTTTTCTAATCTATTGAGTGAAAAAATTTTCAAAATTGTGTAAATGTAACCAATTCAGATGGCTATGGTGTTGGCTGTTGTTTATGCTGTTGTCTTAAAGCAGGGCATGAACAAGATTAATTTTTTCTGGTAAATTAATGTGAATTTTCTGCCACTGCAGGCTTTATCTTCAACATCTTATCTCTTTTTTCAATTGAGTTATTCATTTGTAAACTTGCAAATGTCCACATAAACTTGTCATAAAAAATCAGTCATTTTACTATTTTTTCACCCAAAATTGCCATATATTTGATGTTTACTCTTGCTTTGATTTTAGCAGAATTTATGTTGCTCTAATGAGACCTCTTTTCAAATTGGTGTTAGTTTTCTTATTATAATTCTTCAAATTAGATCCTGTTCATATGTGGTATAACAAGTTAGTACAAGTTTATTCAGGTGCAAAATATTTTTGAAATCTATGCATAGTTCTTCATGATATGCATTTCTTATTAACTGAAGATCCCTCATACTTTTTGAAGAGTTTCAAATAATTTTTGGACATATTTTTAAACTACCACAAGAAAATTATAGCACCAAATTTTAGATTTATCAAGTTGGTAATAAGTACAATAATCAATGGAAATGTCAGATGGGCAGCTTAGCTATTGAAATAGAATTGGAGTTAAATGATTATGGAGATATTCAGTAAAGACCTGCAGACATTGAAAAGCATTAAACAATTTAGAAATAAAAGAACAGGATTATATGTACCATTTAAGAGTAGGAAGAAGAGAGGAGAGATACCAGAAAAAAATATATAAGAACACAGAGAAGGACCAATAATAGCAAATGTTATCTAAAAAGTAAGGATAGTGAAGCCATTGCCGTTTCCACAGGAGCACTGACATTTCTTTGTCAATAGTATCACTGAAATACCTGCTTCCATTTCCAACATCCTGTCTTTGTGAAGCAGGGTTTTCTTGCAGTGACAGCAACCAAAACAAGAATACAGAGTAGACTGGACATAAGCACCATATTTTGGGTGTCACTGTCACCCCCGATGGAACTGTCTAGTTACAGGAAAACAAGCTCAGGGTTTCCACTGATTCTGCATTATGATGAGCTGTATAATTATTTCATTATATATTACAATGCAATAATAATAGAAACAAAGTATGCAATAAATGTAATGTACTCGAATCATCCTGAAACCATCCACCTGCCCAGTCTGTGGAAAAGTTGTCTTCCACAAAACCAGTCCCTAGTGCCAAAAAGTGTGGGGACTGCTGCAGTACAGAAATAACAATATAAAGAGAGGAAAACACAAAATTTATCACATCTGTAATAATATATGCACTAATGGTATACAGAATATGCTAATTACATTCATTAATTTAAGTATCAACCCATACCTACAAACTACATACAAATGCCTGGAATTATTTTAGGAGAACAGTGAAAAAAAGATCAAGAGAAACAGATACCAAATTAAAACTATACATGTATGATTACCAAAGCAAGACCCCATCTCTATTTTCAAAAATCCACACACACACATCAAGTAGTAGTGAGTACTAAGAACAAAAATAAAGAAGAGGAAAAGGAAAAAGAGACAGATAAGTCAATTCATGTAGAACAACCAAAAAGTTTTTCTGCAATTACAGTATTTACCATTGCAGGTTTTAGAGTCAGACAGATACCAGTTTTAATCCTGGCTCTGTGTCTTATAGCTGGGTGTCCCATGGATAATTTATTCCACTTTTAAATCTCAGTTTTCTAATTTATAATTTCCAAATGTTTGTTACATTATTAGACATAAAAGCACATAAATGAACATAAATATAAAGAATCAAGCACAGAAAAATGAGATTATATAATGAATCAAGAATAATGATTATAAAAATAAAGACAATAAACCTGCCAAGCTTATTAAACAATTCTGAAGAGTAGAAGATACATATACATAAAGAATTTAGCGTGTTGTATGGCATATAGTTAGCACATGGTAACTAGGATGATTATCCTCATATTCATTTAAAAAGCTGTGAGACACATTTTTTAAATTATGCAAACACACAATTAAAGATTCAATTTTATGTTAAATTGAATAGTTCTACCTTTAACATTTTTAAGAGATTTCTTGAAACTGTATGTCAAGAATCTCATGTAATGCTTTCTGCTTTTTAACCAAAGTTTAGTGAAACAACACTAAATCAAACTCTTAAAATGTAGTTATAATAAATAAACTATTTAAAACAAGTATAAACAAAACAGCTTTAACTTTTTAAAAGCTGCTTAAGCATTTCAACTAAAAAGTCATTTGTTTCAAATGCACAGGAATCTGTATAGAAAATTTTTTTTTTTTTTTTGAGACGGAGTTTCTCTCTTGTCACCCAGGCTGGAGTGCAATGGCGCGATCTCGGCTCACCGCAACCTCCGCCTCCTGGGTTCAGGCAATTCTCCTGCCTCAGCCTCCTGAGTAGCTGGGATTACAGGCACACGCCACCATGCCCAGCTAATTTTTTGTATTTTTAGTAGAGACGGGGTTTCACCATGTTGACCAGGATGGTCTCGATCTGTTGACCTCGTGATCCACCCACCTTGGCCTCCCAAAGTGCTGGGATTACAGGCTTGAGCCACTGCACCAGGCCTAGAAAAATTTGGAATTCTACAGAAAAAGTGCATAAGCCTATAAAATTTTTTATAGCTTTTAGATGTCAACTGGGGGAAAAATTTTTCTGAAGTTTACTTTTATAGCTGTAAAGACTTATTTTTTATTACCAGCAATACAGAGAGAGACTCATTCAGGTTGAATCTTGAAGGTAAACCTCAACTTAATTTTAAATTCTGGCTAATTTTTAAGCATTTCTAAGTCACCTACCATGATTTCATCTCAGAAACCCAAATCTCAATTTTATATAGACATTTGGAATATTAAAACAAGATAAATGCTTCAAAATAATATTCAGGTAGAGGCTTACAAATGTGGACCAGGAATTTCCACGTATTACAGAAGTTTATGAGAACATAGCAAATGTTGATACACACATTTAATTCTGAAATAAAAAAATCAAAAAGTGGGCTAAGGACATGAATAAACAATTCTCAGAAGAAACTTTAATCATGACCATAAGAGAAAACTTCTGAAGATTTTCAT